GTTTGGGGTTTTTATCCTTCTTCTCAGAGAAGTTTCTTTGTTTCTGCCCATTTTGCTTTCAACAGAGAAAACTCAAAATGGCGTCCAAAAACTATCCTTGTATAACAATTACTGAGAAAAAGTCAACCTAACACAATCCAATAATAACCTTTATTGATCAAGCTAAGATTTTTCTGAAGACTTGGCAACTTTATAACAAACATTTTAATAAGTATCTATTTTCATTTTTACTTTAGGCGGGAAACACCGTCAGCAACCTTTGGACGACAAATTCTGAAATGCTGCCACGCGACATGCTGGCCTATTTTCTAAACAGCCAGTATGACAAGGTTTCAAAGAGCTTTACAAAGATACGACACCTGTATAGCTTTATGAGAGATGGAAACTAAACTGTTTGTCTGGTGGGGCCTAAAAGCTCTGACCACATCCTGTTTCCTGGGTCACGATTGGTCAACAGTTTAACAAGTTTTTTTTTTCTGTTTGCTCAGTCATCTCCTGTTCTGCTTTTCATAGACACTAATGCTGCTTTTAAAATATAATGATGTCATAAAATAACATTATTTTGTTATCAGGTTTGATCAGAGTGTCTGACATCAACTCTCAGCTTGAGATAAGTAACAGGAGGACTTGAGTGTCTGGTCTTACCGGGGAGGGCCAGCATCGATTCAAAGTCCCGGCATTCGGCGATTCCCGCGCTGTTCTCAGCACAGGCGTGCCACAAGTTTTCAAACTGCCTCTGAGAGATGATCACGCTGCCGGACACGGTGGAAACCTTCCAGTAGTCGTTAACCAGCGCCGCACCGTTAACCAGCCAGCTGATTATGCACATGATGAACCCGACCGCTTCCACTGCCGTCGACATGATTACAGATGTTTCCACAAAAATTACTTAAAAAAAACCACAGCAACTCTCCCCAAAAAATCCAGCGACCACAAATAGCCTAACAACAGCAGCGTTCACAAGAACATTAACAGGGAGTAACTCTGTGTCCTCTAAGCTGAAGCCTTCAGGTAGTCAGGAACAGACTGGAGGTGGTGGAGGCTCTGGTGTCGCTCTTTCAGTTACGTCCTGTTAATCTGACATCTGGTGCTCCAGCACAGGGACTTTACTCTAACAGGGGCCATAAACTGCAGGGCCACTCCTTCTGTTTCCCCCTGACCACACACCAATCAATGACAATGATAGATAATGTAGTCGAGTCTTCAGCCACACCTGAGTCACAATGATCCACAGGTTTTTATTATTTTGAGAGGGTTTGTGTTCTGCAGAGGACACTGGGTATTCTTACTTGGGTCCTGGAGCTTTCGATTATTTTCTTTTTCTTTAAAATGCAAAAAGTTGTGGATGAGTTGCGGCGACGTTGCACAGCTTACAATATTGGAGATTATTTTATTAGCAGATCACATGTAGGGTAATCTGGTTCTTTACAAGCATATTTTAAAATTAATTGATAAACTGCTGCTGTGAGCGTGCCACAGGAAATAGAAATGTAGAAATGATCCAGCATTTTGTACTTTCAGTTTGCTCATCTGGATGTCAGTTTGTTTTTTAATGAGTTTTGTTTTGATGCTTTATTAGTAACACAAGTTTTACAAGATAAAATATATCAGTAAATATCCTATTTGTGAATTTTGAGGTATCTCAGAGGAGACGTTTGCTAATGTTAAATGACAGGAAACATTCAGCATCATCATGCTAGAAAAGCTCAGCCGCAGATCAGTAATGGAGCCACAGGCTAAATGTGCCAACCTCACATTAGCACCTTCAGAAGATTTCTGGCACAGGAAGGTTTCTCACTAAATCCAAATACTCTACAGAAAAACACAAAAACACACCTCTGGGTTGGTCAACAAAAATATTCCAGTGCTGGAGTTGTTTTCATTATGCAAGCGAGTGATACTGATACTGACATTCTATGGGAGAGGGCGTTTACTGCATACAATACATAATCGTTATAATTACATTTATAATTATATAAATATATATTATATAAGATGAATGGTTGTTAGTTATGGCTTACATACATGTCATAAATTTAAAACTATTTTTTATACTTACATTTATTTTTATTTATTTAAATAATTGCTGAATAATTTTTTCACCCCTTTTTCAGCCTCGACTAACAGATTCAGTGTTCATATTATCAGTAATCACAGGTCTGTGTCCAATTTAAAATTCCAGTCAAAGAATTTCAATAAAGAAGTGAAATAAAGAAAGTGAGACTGAGTGAAGTCAGTTATCGAGCAGCTGTTATTGCTTTGAAACCGAGTTCCCCACATGCCTGCTCAACATCACCTCCACCAGTTGTTTTACTGTGTGGCTCTGACCTAACCTGTGCTGGAGGGAAGTGAAACTACGCCACTTCATCTGTTCTAAAAATCCTTCACCACACTGAACCCTAAACTGAAGTTCATACTTCACATACTTCATCAGTAAAGCAGGTGCTCTCTGGTTTCTGGTCGATGAGAACAGGAGAGGAACAGAAACGTCCAAATAAAGAAGTCCTGGTTGCACTGCTGAGTCAGCTAAACAAGAGAAGTGTACCAGTGTTGCCTGCCATGCCTACTAATGACATAATCTTCACTGAAACCATCGTGAGCCACCAGAAATATTATTCTGTATATTTCTTTAACATTTAATTTGCTAATCTTCCTGATTAAACATATTTTGTAACATAACTACATGAGAAAGCAATAGAAACATACTTGATGCAATTAGCTTTGAAAGGTTTGTGTGTGAGTCATACGTGCTGATTTCAGGCTGCAGACGGCAGGTTAGCAGGTTGTATGAGATGCTCGAGGTTTTATAGTTTTATGGTTGACAACAGTTAATATTTGATCATCATGAGAGTCCAAAGTCTGACTTTTATGGTCTTTGTATCACCAGAGAGAAAAGAGACTGGCAAAAACAAACAGGTAAATCACGAACATGGTGCACAACATTTAACATAAGGGAAAAACTGTTACACACCCAGATACACGCATTGAATGTCCTTATTTTTAAATGAACAATAACATTTACAGAAGTTGCTTTTACAGTTAAATGGACATCTATGCAAAATCGCTCCTGCTGTCAAGAAGCAGGTCAGCTTATCAGTTCTTCAGTTTGTAAAGCTCTTATTCATCTCCTTTTTCTGCCCTTCCTTGGCCATGATGCTCTATATCTCAACTCATCACACAGTGTACAAAACGTTAATCACATTTTAATGCGTTTCATGCACGAGAACCATTTTTCAACATGCACTGAAGCCCCTCAGCACGTCGAAGACACGCCATGAGACAACAGCCTGTGATACAGTTTCAGACAACTAATTACATCACATCAGGTCTAACTGCAAATGCACAACATCACAGGGATAAAGTCCAATCCAAACTACAACCACGGGACAGTTATTAAAATGAATGTATGAGAGGAGCGCCCGACTGTACATTCAGCCTTAATCATTAATTAGTAGTTTTAAACACTTATAACGGTATTTTGAAAAGAATGAATAAGTCACAACAAAGTCACCATATTATTTTTTTTTAAAGGCCTTTGAAGAAAATTAAATTGGTGTGATTTAGAAATATGATCACTCGACAATAAAACAAAGCTCGTATGACTCGTGACCTACATTTGCAGTGCTTTTGCTCCTTCCTGCCTGTGGGTGGTGCTGTTCATCCAGTTCTTTGTTTTAAGTTATCCGAGCTCTAAGCTGCAGTCACCAAATCCAAACAGACGATTCTGTGAGCAAATGTTTTGGCTCTGAAAGAACAAGATGAGCAGCTGTGTAAATATTGCAGATGTCTTCTTTAAAACCCTGCAGGGCTGTGAAGCATCTTCATTTGTGCTTTTTGCTTTTTGTTTTGGCTTCAGCATTTGTTTCTTCTTCAGTCACCTTTCCTCACTCATCATGTGGCTGTACACCTCTCTGCATTCAATCAGTAGTTATTATTCATCTCTGGCTTTCTACTGCAGCATGTCTTTTGTCCCGCCTTCCTCCCCTCACCCCCAACCAGTTGCAGCAGATGGCCGCCCCTCCCTGAGCCTGGTGCTGCTGGAGGTCTTGTTTTGGGGGGGTTGAGTAGTTTTTCATGTACACAGCTTTTACTTGGTTCATATTTGTCACACAGATTTGAATATTAGTCAATGATACCTCGAGTAAATCAAAGTACAGCATTTCCAGAGATATCCAGACCTACTTGGCCCTTTGTCGCCACCGTTGTGTTGCCACTATCCCTCATTAGCTCCTGTGTGTATTTAAAGGCTTCTGTTTGGCTGTGCTCTTTGATTGTGTTGTGTTGTCTTCTGCTTGTTTGACTCCCTGCATGTGTCTCTTTGCATTTTTATCTATTTGCATTTTTGGTCTCTGCTTTGGATTCATGCTCAGGCTTGCTTCTTATTGGCTGGACTTCAGCCTTGTCATCTTGCATTTTGGCCATAACTCTTTTAGTGTGTCCCCCTCTGCACACCACCAGACGCTGAGGTGACACAGCATCTGGATGAAGTGAACGAGTGGATAAAATGTATTCCAGGAGAGATTAGGATTCCCTCTGCTGAAGCTGAAAACGAGTGCTTGTTATCACTTTAGCCCAGATTCTATCTGAGGATGTTACTTAAAGGAACCATTCATTTCTAAAATGCTGCTGTCAGGGCTGCTTATCTGCTTACTCACTATGTGGACTGAACAGAAAATAAGATCATGATGTACATTTAAAATCTGATCTCAGAAACCGGCTGGTGTGTCAATCAGACACTTGTTTGCACTGGACAAGCAGCACTATGTACTGACCGTGTTAATACTGATAACAAACAGCGTTGATGATCTTTGTTTGTGTTACAGAAGCTCAACAGCCGTGTTATGAGTTAAGCCAGTAATTTACTGTTGACAGCTGTGCGCCTTGAGGGAAATCATAACAGGTCAGACCGGATCTCCTGCCCCAAATACACCCTCAGCATCCGGACACCCTAGCTCCTCTCTGCAGGTCAGAGAAGAGCCGAGTTACAGAGAGACGAAAGACGCTTCTTACGAGTTTGAAACAAGAGTTTGGCAGAAAGACGATAGACGAACTGAAACCTGTGATTTCACTGTGATCTTCTAATTGTCTTCAAGACCTGAGTGAGCACAGAAGGATCTGGGTTATTTTGACAGAGATCTGGATTTTTAATCTCATATTAACGATCTGCCTGTGTGCAGGTACCTGCTCAGATTTGGCTATGAAGGAACCGACGGGCTCATTTCTCCCTCTGGTCTGGAGATAAGTGCTGCAGTCATGACTGTCAGTCTCCTGCTGCTGATGATGACCCTGCTGAATTTCACAAATGGTGAGTTTACATTCAGCTGACACAGAGACCTGATTTCTGTCTGAGCCCAACACACAATCACATGAAGGCTCTGCAGCATTAGGTGCTGTTCACACAAGATCAACTAACAGGCTGGAAAATCCTCCAGGAGGGAGTCTGGCTGCTGCTTTACCAGGATTTCTTTTTGAATGGGATGGTTTATGGAGAGTCCACACACACACACACACACACACACACACACACACACACACACACACACACACACACACACACACACAAATCTGGATACTTGATTAAAAAATTGTAGTTTATAAAACTGTTGTAGAAAACATTAAAACATTAAAAGGTTAAAAACCATATACCACTTAGGTTCTAAAGTTATAGTAGTCTGTGTGCAAACACACACACATTGTTGTGAGAACGGCATCCTAATTACTAAGTTATTAATGGATATGTCAACTTCATGCTTCAGCTGGAAATGCTTTCACTTACTTATAAATGTGTCTATTCTTATCTGTATTAACACAACGTGATATATTTTTAAATCTGTAGAATAAGAAGTAATTACCAGCGGAGGTCAGTCGTGTCTCTGTGACCTCCCTGTGAACCCCGTGAAGGTGCAGAAGCAGTTATGGTGTGCGCTCCACACACACACATGAAGCAGGAGTTTGTGTGATTCTTATAGCTGCCAGCTCGAATAATAAACAGTAACTTATTTACGCTGCACAAACTTTTAAATACGACTACTTATGTCTGTTTTTTTCTTAATTTTCTTTTATTAAATTTAATATGTGGCAGAATAAAACTGAACGGAAAACTCTGACATTATCTGATAATGTTGAAGGTGCTGTGGGCGTAACACTGCATTATGTTATAATAGCCCTGAAATGTTTTAAAGAAGCTTTCATTGAGTGTAATGGAAAGTCATAGCTTAATGCCTTTTATTGTTACATTTTAATTAGTTGAGCTGTTGCAGATGAACAAGCTCGGCTGCACCGGTGATGTCTCGGCACAACATGACTGAAGGAATCTGTGTTATCTCATGTTTGTTGCGTGAAAGCCAAGTGAGCAGTTAAAGCTATAGAGAGCATCATCATCATCATCATCATCATCTTTATTCATAAAGAACTTTAAAATGACTGTATGCATAAATTGTATGAGTACAGATGAGTATGATTAGTCATATAAATAAATACTAAACATCAAAAATTATTGGAGGTCTTCTAGTAAAATCTATCACAGGTGAAGAATCTGATAATTGCGTTAAAAATGCACCTAAAGGCGTCAACAGGGCAAACACAGCAGACAGATCCAGGTTCAGTCATGTAAACAGCGAGCAGCAGTGTCACACACACGTCAGCCTAAGCCACCACAAAATTACTCAGATTTACGAGTTATTAAATAATTACTTTGTTTCCTCCCCCCTAAAAAATTTGGAAAATAGAAAATACGTCAGTAATACAAAAGTACACCAACACAAGAAAGTCCACTGCAGATCTTACATAAGTGTAAGTGGACTCTTGTATTGCCCAATCAGACACTTGATTCTTGCACGCCACAGTCACTGAAGGAGGAACATCAGCTTCATCAGTATCCAGTCTGATATCCAGTAGATCTTAAAAAATATTAATTCAAGCCTTTTGAATAAGTGTAACTTTTACAATAGTTATTTTTTAATGTTGTTTTCATCACATCTACCAACTAATAATACAGTTAATTTGACCATAAATGAAAATGATTGAGTTTCCTTTTCTCCATTTCTTCACTGAACCCCGCTTTGAAAAGACCAACCTGCCTTATTTCCCCTCATCCTGACGTGTGTGGAGCCAATGCAGACAGTCGCTCTGTCACGTACATGCAAGCAAAGCCGAGACGAGTGTGCTTTGCTCAGAACTCATGGATGCTCCTCAAAGTACTGATCATTACTATCCCTGTTATACCCGTGAGCTGTACACTACTCTCACCTGGGCTCAGCAAGCCAAGTGAAGTAAAAACTGACATGCATGACATTTATGAACTTTGGGGGCTTTTCTTTATTATTTTGGGCTTTTTGAAACTTTACTTAATGATAACAATTTATAATGAATGCATTTAAAAATAGATACAACAACCAAAATGAAGAACAAATATTATGTCTTAATGTCAAAAACCTCTATTTGTTATGCTGCAGCTGAACTGGAGTCGGTTTTACTATAAAATACCATTTGGTGCCAAAAGATGGTTTAGTGACTGTAGTTTAACTTGTTGCAGTGGGAGGTCAGTGGCAATAGTAACTACCAGTAAGAAGGAAACACCGACAGCTTGAGTCAGTGCAGCAATGCAGCGAATATGGACGTTCAGCAAGTTATGACTCATGCTGGGCTTTAGCATCAAGTTATGGCATTTTTCTGTGCAGTATGTTTGAGGCACACGGTTAAGGCCAGATATCTTTTTCCCAAACTAAATGAAACCAATCAGAAAACTGGAAACACAAGTGCAAAACACAAAATGAACCTTCTGACTAATAAATCAGTGTGTGTAACGATGAGATGCAGGCAAACAGTATTAGATTAGATTGGGTTTATACGTGTCTGCAGCTGGAGCTTCAATTTCCTTTTTTAATATCCATCTGATGTTTTGATTAGTCATATGTCACCAGAGGATATCAGGACGTGTTCTGCTCATATTAAATTTGACTTAATATTAAATTTTTTATGATACCTGATTTATAACATTCGATCTGACATTTTACTGTGGCTGCAGATGTTTGGACGCTACCGGCTCCTGGCAGTGTTTTCATGGAGTCTGTCGACATGAGACACATGCTGAGGTGGCCCCCCCTGCAGGCTTCATGCAACACTACACTTCTGTACTCTGTCCAGTATCAGGGGTAAGTATTGTAAAAAATGCTGATCAAATATTTGCTTACACTAGTCCCCAACAGAACATCCATATTGAATGATCCATATTAAAAAGTCATACACAAAACAAACTGATGATGACTTTTAAAAATATGAATTTTAGTAAGAACAGTTTGGAGCTCAAAGTCAACCTCATCCTGTAGCTCAATACAGAGAGATCACTTTGAAGAATTGAAACATGGTTTATTGAGGCAGAGTTTGGGGATTAGACTCCGATGAGACATCACGGCAGTCAGAATTCCACGGTGAGAGGATTTAGGACAGGACGCCGCAGAGTGTAGATGCAGGTGGTGGTGAAGATGAAGACTGAGGCTTGGATGGAGCTCTGAGGTGTCTGTGAGGTGGAGATGGAGAGGAGGTAGGTTGAATGAATGAAGGCCTAAAAGCGGGACTGAGAGCACAGATTTAAACTACGCAGAGTAGAGGCTGATTGAACATAAAGGCGAGCAAGAAGACTGGACTAGAACAACGACGTCAGTGTTGAGACTGAGAGCCGACAAACGAACGGCACCGACTCTCGTGTCTTTGCTGCAGACTGACAAACACAGAAATGACCAACAGGGTTTATTTATTGCATGTTTGTATTAGTATACAACGACAGCTAAAACTAAATGATCCTGACAGGGAGACATTGTTCTTGATGTAATTCTAACCATGTGACCTAAAACAACAGGAGCAAAGAATGATCAGCAGGTACGTCTGTGTTCATAGCTGGACGGTTTTTGCTTAGTGCTTTATTCTAGTTATTACAGCCTCAGTTTGTTCTAAGTCACCTGAGTGTAAGCCACAAAGATTACAGCTGTTCAGTCAGTAACAGTTTCATAACTGAGAGAATTTCAGTGTCTTTTCTCACTGCAACACAAGAGAGACGTCTAAAAACCACCTTTAAATTAAGGAGTAAATAACTTCCAACAAATCACTAACAGTGAGAGCATAAGACCTGTTCGAAAAACTCTCACCTGTGGTTCCACCCTCTTTTTCTGCTTTGGAGGCGTAGCAGCAGTGTAAGACCTGGCTATGGGTGTAAGGCTCGGGTATGGGTGTATGCACCCCAACAGTGAAAGCACACAGATGCATGCAGATGCAATGATGTTTATAAAGTTTTACAACCATAAACTTAATTATTCCTCTGCTTTTTATTATAAATATTTTAAGACAAAAATCATCCTGGTGTAAAAGCTTTATGAGCTCACACCAAAACCTAACGATAGACAGGCTCAGCCACACCTCTGATCCTCTGATAAATGTCATAAATGCCACCTAACAGGTTGACTCTGACTGAATCCTGAGTCATTACTGTGCTAAATCTTCAGTGATGTGCAATAAACAACAAATGCAATGAGGAATGCTGCGTGTGTGGTGGAGGAGGTGGAGTCGTGCAGAGGTGTATTTTAAAAGGATTAAATGTGAATAGTTTCAAACTCCTTTAAATGAAGCTAATAAAAACAGCTTTATCAAAATTACCCAGCGAGTAGCAGGAGGGGAATCACTGAGGCAGGAAAGACAGATTTATAAACAGTGACACTCAAAGAAGCTGTTACACTGCAGAGAGTTTATTGGTTGTATTTGTTCAGACCTACGTTCCTCCTCAGCTCCAGCATCATAGTTTTCTTGAGAAGAATCTATTATTACCTCACTGTAGCTTCTCAGAAAGAGGAAGAAAGTTCAACCACAGGAGACAATGAGTTCACATCATGTTTAGCATCTAAAGATGGTAAATGGACTGATTCTTATATCGCTTTCTACTCAAAGCACTGTATATAACAGAGGTAGATTAACAAAAATATGGACATTAAAAACGGGGATAATTGGACTGAAATGCAACAGCTGGTCACTAATATGACTAAATGAACCAAAAAGTGCTGGATGAAGAAATACGACTGTTATATGAACTTTTAGAGTCTCTGTTCTGTTCCCAAGAAATATCTAAAAGAAAACTAAAACTCTTTCTGTGCTCGACGTCCGCAGAGAGTTTGAGCTGGAGCATCAGAACGGCAGGTGGATGGAGGCTCCAGGGTGCCAGCGGATCACGCTCAGTCACTGTGACCTGACCTCTGACCTGGGATCAGACTCTGACTACAACATCCGGCTCAGAGCGCATTGCGGCTCGCAGCGCTCCGCCTGGACCAAACTCAGACCTCCCTTCAATAGGAGACAAAGTAAGACAAGAGCTGACAGCTACGTCTGTTTTACGGCTGATGTTCGGTGTGTTTATGGATGTTGTTCTTCAGCTGAGACGTATCGTCAGGCAGGAAGAGAAAAGTCAGGCACTAAAGGAAAGAAAGAGGCCTTGGTTTTAAAATATCTGATAGAGAGTAAATGTGCAGAAAAGTCCATTTGAATTTTAGAATTTTTAAATATGTGAGACTTTGAAGAGCCCACGTGATCCTGTGAACCTGGCCAAGAAAAAAACATTTTCTAATAGAAATAATAAAGAGTGATTCCTGTGTGCAGCCAAGCTGTCGGTACCAAAGATGACAGTGATGTCAGCAGGCGACGCCATCCAGGTGTCGTTTGAGACTCTTCCTCTGACGTCAACCGTCGATGTGACCGTTTGGAAAAAAGGCGAAAAGCTGCAGGTCGTTATCTGATCTCCTTTTCTCTTTATTTCTAGTTCATGTTTTCATTCTTGCGTTTGATCCTTTCTTTTCTTTTCCTTGATTACTTATTTTCGTTGAGATTGTGATTCCTTTCCTTGTTTCTGTTTTCTTTTTTCTTTCCGCCTGTCCTTCCATTTCTTTTAATCCACCTTTATTCTCACGTTTTCATGTTTTCTCCCCACACTCTTGCTTTTTGTCCCCTTTTCTTACACTATTTCTTTTTTCGTGTCTCCTCCTTTCTGACTTAATTTAATGACACAGTTTAAGCTTTGTTTTTTATGCATTTGCTGTATTCTTTGTTTCATTGTTTAAAATAAAAAAAAAACTCACATTTTCGTTATTTTGATCTCTTTTAGGCTGTCGTGTACTCGATGCCTGCTGAGGAAGAGGTGCTGCACATCGCCGCCCTGCAGGAGGGAGCAGTGTACTGCGTCACAGCGCAGACTGTGCTGAACTCAGGGTTTCGCAGCAACAGCACTGACACCCAGTGTGTGTCCATCATAGGTACAGGCGTAAACACACACACACACACACTTACTTTCCTAAAATGTTTTAACTTTGAACATGTTTCTAAATTACAATAAAATCTGTAGGTCGTGCTTAAATATCCTTGTAATTTAAAATGTATTTCATAAAATATTTTCTTAGTTTCAGAGATGTTTCTCTTTTCATAATACCTGGTAGTTCATTGAAGTTACAACCTTCATCACTTTGCAAAAAAGCATTTAATAAAAGTCTTCCCTTTCCCAAAAGAAATCCAAATTAAAAAAAAAATTCACAATTTTAGAAAAAGATCTTCACCATCAAAGCCATTCTCTTATTCCACATGATCTGCCTATAAAGTCTTTACTTCACAGAAACATCAAGATTTGTGCTTATAATTAAATTAAAATATGGAACCTTCCTCGTTGTCCAGATGAGGCTTTTCTTAGTTTTGGAAACAGTGGTCCTTGTTTCCTCATCAATTATTCAAAATGATTAAATGTTCAATTAAAAAATATCTGAACATCACCAAAATGTGAACATTAGACGCAGAGAAAAAACAATAAAATCCAGAAAGAACCTAAAGAACTAAAAGGTCTGAATCTAATTCTGATCATTGAACAGACATTTTTTAAAGCCAGCATGTATGCAGTGAACTAAAAGAGCGCTCACGCTCACTGAGGTTTTGACTCCCGACTCATCTGCAGATCCAGATGCTCCTGCTTGGAAGACGCCGACCACCCTGACGGTGACGGTCATCATCATGGCGGGACTCCTGTTTGTTTTATTCTGGTCCATTGTTCACTGTCGTCCAGAAACCTGTAAAACACATTTCCATAAAGAGCCTCTGCCACAGTCTCTGGTCAGTGCTACCTCTCATCTACACAGACAGAATACCTGTGGTGTAAAATATCTGAACCAGGAGGTCACAATTTATATCAGCAAACCTAACAGCAGCAGTACTTTAGCGCACCCTGCTGGTGATACACTCATAATTATTGTTTCTACCGAATATCTGACACCTAAATCATAAATACACATAGTAAAGAGTGTTACTGCACGTACTGACTAAGTTTGAGGTTCAGTGTGAAGTAAAATGATCTACTGTTTAGTGAAGTTTTCCATATTTTGGTCTGTTTTTCTACAGAGAGGTAATTGGGACATTCAAATCCCAATGAGCCCTCAGGAGAAGGAGCTTTGTGACCAGATGGTGATGGAGCCAAATCAAACCTCATCACAGACTGATGCTGCACTGATAACCCATCAGGAAGACTAAACCAAGCTGAAACTCACTGAGAATCTACAGCAGGACAACAAGGAAGTAACGTCGTGCTACAGTCCTGCAATATAGCTGTTGGAGGGTCACACGGAGCAGCACGCAACATTTGAATGGTCCATTTATGACCCTCTGATCAGAGTTGGAGGTGGAACAAGAAGCCCCTGTGAGCCCCGACAAAGCTGACAAGTGTCTACATTCCCTGTTGACTTCTCTTCAGAAGAAAAAACTGGGTATTTGTGTGACTTTTAAAGCGCTACGAAGCCCACAGAAGGAGGTCAGGATTTATTCAAGATTCAAGCAGATCCACAGTGGTAGTAAACAAAGATGTAGGGAAGAATTTACGTTCTGTCTTTGTTCTTAGCTCTGCCTTTCAGCAACAATGCTATTGAAAGATTTGTGAAAAAAAAAACTTGGGAAATGAAGAGACATTTTAAGTATTACTGTGTAACTGCTGATTGTGAAACTGTTAAGCAAATGAACCATCACACTTTGATTGTGAAATGAAGCAGTAATGAATGAAGCAGGGATACAGGCATATTTTCACCGAGTACATTTAAGTATATTACTCAAGAAAATATATTTACCAACTAAAGATTACATTCTGTTTGAATTGAACCAGTATGAGCTTCTTACAAAGCCATCAGTCCAGCAGACCAACCACAGGATTCACTACGCGTGTCAATCTGTAAAATTCAGTTCAAAAGTTGTGAGCAACATGCTGCCTACAAATTAAACAAACCATCAGACCTGCAGTAGGAGCTCGGACTGACTTCATCAGCTTCTTAATATTTTGGTACTAAGAGTTGTTAATGCTCATTTTAGAGCAAGCTTTACAAATCTGTATTTAAAACACTCTGATGCCAGACTCTGTTCTTGTTATCTTACAGTGCTACCTCTTTAGTTCTTTTAGAGTGAAACTACATGTGTTGATTTCTAGCTGGTGCTTTACGTTAATATCGCCTTTGTTAACGTGTATAATTAAACTGCAGCGATGTGTACGAGATGCTGTCACATCACTGCTGAAAATGTGCTGTTAGGATGAAGTTATAATTAAAGCACATGCAGTATGTCATGTTTTTGAAATAAGCTTGCTGTGACGGAGCAGATATTGTTGGGTTACAGCTAAACACTTACAGATGAGCATTGTTTATTTTCTGTAACCTTAGACCTGAAGGGTGAGCCATGAAGTCAGGTCAACATTGTCAGGCTTTCGTGGTATTTGCTGGCTCAGTCAGAGAAAACCTGCATCAGAAAGGTCGCACTCAGTTTCTGTGCTCCAGACTTTCTGCCTTTAGGAGAAACTCTATACCACACGTAGAGCGTGCTGTCGAGTAAACAACCAATGTGACAGAGATGATTTTAAATAAAAGTTGAACATTGATCTACTCTGGACCGAGTAATGAGCTCAGTGTACTTATTGTGGTCCGTGCATGTGTATGTAATGTGAGGCATATAGTTTGACTGCTTTAGTCTTAAATCCTGCTGTAGAGCTATGTGTATATGTACATATATATGTTGTCATTGCAATGTTGATGTGTTTTATATATATATATATATATATATATATATATATATATATATATATATATATAGAGAGAGAGAGAGAGAGAGAGAGAGAGAGAGAGAGAGAGAGAGAGAGAGAGAGAGAGAGATACATATATATTCAATGAGGTAAATTCATTGAATAAACGTGTTTGTGGATTATCAGCCTTTAAATCTTTTTACTAGGTGTTCTGTGTTCTGCGCCTCTTGTTTTTGCCGTACTGGAGTTGTGATGGGTTTTAGCCTCCCTGCAGTCTGAATTGGATGGATGTGTGGATATGACACATTTTTGTTAAGGCCATGATAATATTTACTGTTTTAGGAAAAAAAGAAATTAGATTGTGAGAAGCGTCTTCAGAGAGCTTCATTATTGCACTGTATAACCTATGAGGAAACTTACAGCAGGGCAATAGCCCATGTCAGGTATTATCATTGGAAACACTCTAGAAGATGAGTATTTATAGTTTTGCTTTGTTGTAAATTTGTGAAAATTGAATTATTGAAGTGAAGTGGAGAGAGAGAGACCCAAATGCAGGCACTGGCTTATGTGCAATGAGTGAGCTTTACTTACACATGGTGTACACACAATACAACAGGTATGCACAGACACGAGCTTAACACTATCAGACATGGCAACAGAGAGGGAACACAGAGACACAGAACAGAAAGAGCTCAAAACACAAAACCTGAGAAGTACAAATACTAGGACAGAAACCAAAATATTAACAGTGACTGTTTGTCACCTGTTTATAACTCGAGTTACCATCTTTTCTACACTGACTGCAGTACAGAGTGAGTGAGATGCCAATCTGTGCAATGAAGGATCACGACAGACAGCAGCTTATGTGCTCTCAAGTTTATCAAAGTTTATTATTTAATGATGTCACCATCATTCAGCAGGCTATTACAAGAATAGACATAACATGTAACTCAGAATAAAAATCTCTTATATCAATGATATTTGCATTTTATGACATAAAAACATTAAGCAGGTTTAAAACATGGAGAACAGTGTGTGTGTGTCAGGCATTATAAACAGTTAAGAGGGAATAAAATAATTGAATGAAGAAATAAAACAGTTATGTTGTGATCAGTGTTGTATGTTATTTAGGTTTTATGTTGTCTAAAGTGATGTAAAAAATGATAAAGCATTAAACTGTAAAAAAACCAAAAAAAACATAGAAAACATAGAAAAACAAAAGAATTGCACAAGTGGTAAAACCTTAAATTACTTAATATTGTTGTTGCTGGCTGAGATTTAATGCTTCTAAATATTTGATGCTACTTCTGTCTTTATTTATCTTATTTTATTTGTGAATTGTCAAAGATGTAGCATCAAGAATGTTTAATTAAATTTCTCCACGTGAGCCATGAGCTCTGCTTTTTCCTTCATGGACGTCAGAGACTGAACTCGTTGCTTCCAGCCTGGTTTAGCCTCAGATTTCTCTCCTTCAATAAGCACGTCGATGTGTTCTAGAGTGGACAGAGGGTTTGGCTTCAGTGCTATCTCTTTGAGTCTGTTCAGACACTCTGCAGATCTCTCCACCAGTTTCACCACCTCAGCCTGCAAACAGTCGTACTCAGCATTCAGTTTGTCAACCAGTGCTTGAACAGTCATCTTCTCTCCTTTGGCCTTCAAGTACTTTTTTCTCAGCTCCTTTATTGTTAATTTCTCTTTAACTTCTTTATACACCCATTTGTACTTCTGATTATAACGTACATTCCAGATGCATTTCCCTGGGCACTCTGTACAGTATCCGTCTGGCCCCATTGCTGCACAGCCCCTTTTATCTGCATCATTTGCTGTCTGGCAAGGGTAGTGACAGGTGTAATGACACTGCTTGCAATTAGTGATGTAGTTTCCAGGATTCGAAATATCCTCCGGAACAGGGATTTTAACAGAAACTTCAAACTCAAAGCTTTCATTTCTGCTGATCTCTGCCTTGCAGTTTTTAATTTTTTCCCTCGTCTCTTTTATCTCCTCAAGCTTGGCTAACCCAAGTTTCACCTGCACCTGCAGATTCTCAACTGAAATCTCGAGCTGCTTTCTTTCTCTGAGGACTTCCTTTGTCAGTGTCAAGCTTTTAGTTTCTATTTTATTCAGAGCAGCAAAAAACTTCTTTATACTTTTCGTCCCCATCTTCCAAAACATCTGATTGAAGTCCTCTTCATCATCATCATTATCATTGTCATCATCATCATTCATGCTTTCTGCCACAGCTGGTTTGTTGTTTATAAACAGCGCTGAATTATTGAATTTGAAGTGAACCGGCAGCCCGTCTTTTGTTTTAGGACATGGGACTCCTGCAGCATTGATCGCCTCGAGAACTGGAGGTCGCTGACCGTCTGCAAATGTCACCACAATGCTGATGTTTTCTGCCACATCTTTGCCAAAGATTGAGAGCACTGAATCAAACACATATTTCTGTGTTGGTGTGAGTCGTGCTAAAGCAGCCTGAGCTACAAAACACACAGCATCGATTTCACTGACACCATGTGAGGAAGTGAAGAGATTACGTAGCTGCTCTACGATCTCTCTGTCTCTTTCTATGCCTCTTGTATCTCCAAAGCCTGGAGTGTCCACAATGGTCAGAGAGAACGGGATTTGAAATCCCTCCTGGTGGTTGATTTTGTAAACAGTGACTTCAGAGGTCTGACTGTGAGCTTGTGATGTTGACTGAGTTTCATTCACCAAGTTAAAGCGATATGGATCCTCCCATTTAACACCTAAAATGTAATTGATCATCCCGTTGATGAGAGTTGTCTTCCCAGCACCGGTTGCGCCCATAAGCATTATGGTGCGATTAGGCTTACTGGACTCTTCTCCAATACTGAATCTCTTGCATCCATCGACATTGAATGTCATGTTCTTTTCCAGGTGAATCATATAAACAGGGAGAAACCTTGGTGGTGTTTCAAGTGGTTTGCTGACTTTTATTTTAACAGCATCTGAAAGCTTTATGGAGCCTCCTTCTTCTTTAAAAAACCCAGACATTTCCTGTTGTGTTGTATATTATTTTGTGAACTTAATGGAAAAGTTATTTTTCTAGTTCTAAAAAAGCAAATATTTGAAATTATGTGCAGTCAACTTAATGTCTTCTGAGGTGTTTTTTCTATTATCAAACTGTTCTCCCACTAGGAGCTCAGTCTGAGTGGAGTTTTTTTTTCTCCTCCTCTTACCTCATGTTATGTATTTTCGTTGTTTTTTTCCTATCAGCCGACCTTTCTGACATGTCTCCCCATGTTTTTGTAAAGTTGGTCAGAAGGTTCCTTTGTAAGTGTGCATGCGCCATTAGCGTGCTGCCTGCTGTAACCCTAATTTCCTTCGGGATTAATAAAGTATTCTGATTCTGATTCAAACTGTTGACTGGTAGTGGATATCTATTTGTTTCTGCTGAGATTACTTGTAGATGCACACACACTTTGATCTCAGCTGTGTGTGGTGGTAAATTACACACACACAAACACACACACACACACACACACACACACACACACACACACACAAACACACACACACACACAGATTTGCAGTATTCAAATTATTCAAATTTGAGGAAAATGCAAACTATCTGTGCAGAAACATCTAGAATACAATGATTAGATTAAAAATGACAAAGGGACACCAATGTTTGGATACTTAGTACAAATAATATTGTAAATATTAAATGTTTTCATAAATTAAAATGAATATATCTAAATGAAACAAACATAAAACAAAAGACACACACACACACACATATGTATATATATATATATATATATATGTATATACATATACATATATGTATATATATATATATATATATATGTATATATATATAAACAAAAAAAGAGCTCAGTGAACATGAGCTTACTGTGAAGTGCACCTTTTATCAGAAAGAAAGATGTTGGCCCAGTATTCTTAGTTTCTTGTATTTTTTGTATTTCGTTCCTTATTTAGGCCATGTTTCCTGAGTTGTCCTGTTGTGTTGTTCCCTAAGTGTTTTCCCTTCGTGACTCTTACCCCCTGTGTGCCCCTCTTTGTGTTTATTCCACGTTTCCCCTGCCCGTTATGGCTATGTTCTTCCTGTACTCTCTCTCTCCCCTCCTGTCTGAACCCCCGTGTACTTCCTGTTTTACTTGGTGACTCCCGCGCCTGTATACGTCATGTTATGTTCACCCCGCCCTGTCTCGTTATGATTATCAGTGTCACCTGTGTTCCCCATGTGCTCCCACTTCCCTCGTTAACCCTCTGTGTATTTATGTCTGCGTCTCCCTCAGTTCTGTGTCGCGTTCTCCCTCATGCTGTGTGGATCTCCCTGTGTCTCTCTGCGAGTGTTTAGTTTCTTGTTCCCAGTTTAGTTTTGTATGTCCTACGATCTGCCTCTCCAGCATTAAAGCTGTGATTTTTTTGAGTTCATCCCCTGAGTCTGTGAGTTTGCATTTTTGGGTCCTCATCCTGCCTGCCACACAGCGATCCATGACATTTAATGTGGCAAACAGGCGCACGGCCCTCCCCCACCCACATACAGGCTTAGCCATGCTGCAGCAAAATATAAAGGAAGTTAGCTGTAGATGACATAAAGTAGTTTTCAAACTAAACTAATAATAATGAAAGATGTTGAAAGTTAAAAATGAATTATTTTAATTTACATGTTGTTATGCATTAGTCTTCCATTTTAGTACATTTTGAAAAATAAAATTTGACAGATTTTTTTCTTTGTTTTCTCCTCTCTCTCTCTCTCTCTCTCTCTCTCTCTCTCTCTCTCTTTGTGTGTGTTTGTGTGTTTTTTTGCCCTGGGTACAGGAAGAAGAACGTATGGTGGAAGTGAACAGGACAGCGACTGTGTAAACAAGTATGAATTCTCAGAAGTCCTCCGCACCCTCATTCACAGCAAAGCTGAAAGTGAAAGAAGAGCTGCTGCAGGAGAATTGCGCCTGATGCCTACATGAGCTTCAGATGAACACAAAGGGTCTTCATGACCAACAATCACATGTGAAATTTAGACAAATATAATGCCAAATAAAACTGGAGTAAACTCATTTATTCCAGAATGTATACACTAAATGATGTTTTCCATAGGCCCAAGAACAGCACACAGCACAAGATCTGTACAATTACTGTTTCTAAATTGTATCATAAATACTGCTCACATCAATGCACTTACAGTAGCCGCAGTAAAACCAAGAGGAAAATAATTCAAGTTTATATTCAATGGACCAAAATGTAATAACTTGGATATGGAGTTGGTTTCATGTTGATCTATGACTTCATCTAGTACTTACCAGGTGAGGTAAATGAGGTAAATACAATCTCATATGAGTAACATGACCTTTTAAAGAACTAAGCCGAAATGCAGAAGTAGTGTTTCAGGAAAAACTTCCTTAGACAGCATTCTGACTTTTCTGTATGACTTTGAACAAAAATAATTTGGTGCACAAGTTTGATTCATTTGGGCTTTTTCTAATTTCTTAACATTTGATTTGCTGTAAAATGACAATCATAACTTTCAGCAGTGATTAGGTGAAGACCCAGTAGGTGAAGGAGTGAATTTTTAATGTGGGTGGACAGAGGACAGATGTCTTAGCTAACAACACAAACATCACAACAATACAAACGTAGTTATAGTTTGACATTTATTGATGCATCCATCATTCACCACAACAGACGTGAATGCTATCATGGACAAAAACATAATGAAGCTCATAAAATGATTTTATATATTAGTAACATTTACATTTGCACAAATGTGACTTTGCACTATATTTATCTTTTTTTTATCCCAAATTTAATTTGAAGAGTTAAGGTTAGAAAATTAATTATTACAATTTAGTTCAATGTAAACAAAACAGATTAAGAAATGATATTGAAATAAACCCAAAGCTGAGAGTAGTGTGTGTCAAGCAGACTGTGGAGAAGAGCAGAACAAATTCAACCAGAAAATAAAAACTCATTTTTGTCATTGTGCTGTGTTTACATCTTAAATTACTTGCAGTAGTACAGCCAAGTGGTGAAGCACGCACCTACATTGCAAAACAAGTTCAAACTGAACTGTGGTGAAGTCGTTCTCTGACTCTGGACGAGTTGCCTTGTTGACTTGCTAAGCATTAACATCAAGTGATTCTTGATGACGCAGGAGTTTCTTGCCTTGCTCTATTTTAGCCATTGTCTCTGCTTTTTCCTTCATGGACCTCAGAGACTGAACTCGTTGCTTCCAGCCTGGTTTGCCCTCAGATTTCTCTCCTTCAATAAGCATGTCGATGTACTCTGGAGTGGACAGAGGGTTTGCCTTCAGTGCTATCTCTTTGAGTCTGTTCAGACACTTGGAAGATCTCTCCATCAGTTTCACTACGTCAGCCTGCAAACTTTTATACTCAGCATTCAGTTTATCAATCACTTTCTGAACAGTCATCTTCTCTCCTGTGGCTTCCCGATACTTTTCTTCCAGCTCCTTTATTGTTCTTTTCTCTTTAACATCTTCATAGCCCCATTTGTACTTCTGGTTAAAGTGTACATTCCAAATACATTTCCCTGGGCATTCTGTACAATATCCATCTGGCCCCATTGCTCCACAGCTCCTTTTATCTGCATCATTTGCATAGGCACAAGGGTAGTGACAGGTGTAATGACACTGCTGACAGTTGGTGATGTAGTTTCCAGAGCCAGAAATGTCCTCCTGAACAGGCTTTTTGACAGTAACTTCAAATTCAAAGTTCTCATTTCTGCTGATCTCTGCTTCATATTCTTTAAGTTTTTCACTCGTCTCTTTTATCTCCTCAAGCTTGGCTAACCCAAGTTTCACCTGCTCCTGCAGACTCTCAACTGAAATCTCGAGCTGCTTTCTTTCTCTGAGGACTTCCTTTGTCAGTGTCAAGCTTTTAGTTTCTATTTTATTCAGAGTGGCAAAAAACCTTTTCATGCTTTTTGTCCCCATCTCCCAAAACATCTGATCAAAGTCTCCTTCATCATCATCATCACTCATTCTGTCTCCTTCAGCTGATTTGTTATTTGCAAACAGTGCTGAGTTATTGAATTTGAAGTGAACCGGCAGCCCGTCTTTTGTTTTAGGACATGGGACTCCTGCAGCATTGATCGCCTCGAGAACTGGAGGTCGCTGACCGTCTGCAAATGTCACCACAATGCTGATGTTTTCTGCCACATCTTTGCCAAAGATTGAGAGCACTGAATCAAACACATATTTCTGTGTTGGTGTGAGTCGTGCTAAAGCAGCCTGAGCTACAAAACACACAGCATCGATTTCACTGACACCATGTGAGGAAGTGAAGAGATTACGTAGCTGCTCTACGATCTCTCTGTCTCTTTCTATGCCTCTTGTATCTCCAAAGCCTGGAGTGTCCACAATGGTCAGAGAGAACGGGATTTGAAATCCCTCCTGGTGGTTGATTTTGTACACAGCGACTTCAGAGGTCTGACTGTGAGCTTGTGATGTTGACTGAGTTTCATTCACTAAGTTAAAGCGATATTGATCCTCCCATTTAACACCTAAAATGTAATTGATCATCCCGTTGATGAGAGTCGTCTTCCCTGCACCGGTTGCTCCAAGAACCATTATGGTGCGATTAGGTTTACTGGACTCTTCTCCAAAACTAAAACTCTTGCATCCATCGACATTGAATTTATCATTTTTTAGGGGAATGACATAAACCGGGAGATGTCCTGAATGTGATTCCAGCAGTTTGCTGATCTTTTTAACAGCATCTGAAAGCTTTATGGGGCTTTTTTCTCCCTTAAAGCGTCTGAACATTCTCGTTTTGTTTTATATTAATTACTAAAGTTACTGTGAAGACGTTGATCTTTCTCGCTCTGTGCAGTCAGCATCAATATCTTCTGCTCTGGAGGTGTTGTTCAGGCCCAAATCTGAA